TCAGTTCATGTCAGTTCAGTTCCGGTTATTCCGGTTAAGTCTAAATATCATGTCAGGTTCAGTAAGAGCATCTTAACGAAATTAATCAGTTAAGTTAACAGTCTGAGCATAGTCAATAGTAATTATTTATATTATTTTCAGTTTGATCAGGCATCAGCACTACCGTTCAGATTCAGCAGTTCAGGTGGGGACTCAGACTAAGTACTACATTGACTATAATTACGGTACCATGTTTGAGGTATGTATTTCATGTGAGGTATCCGCTCGGAATGGTCGCCGGTCCATTCTGGGTTCTAGTGGCCCTAGTCTGCCCACTAGAGTGTGCACATGGTGTCCGACATTAGTTTTGCCGGCAGATGAGGTAGCGGTCAGGGTCACGTTGCGTGACGATATCAGATTCATGTTCATGTTATTACCGGTTTCATGTTGAGGTTATGTATATACTGATATCATGATGTTGTTATTATTTTCAATGTTTACATTAGTATGAGTTTCCACGGAGCACAGTGCCATAGTGCTCATTTCCCACTTTTATCATGTTTTTCAGGTCAAGATGTCGGGCCGGGAGTGTGAGCTGATGAAGGCTTCAGGACTTTCATGTTTGATTGTATATATAATATGACGATTTACGCTTCCGCTGACGATGTTTTTGATGACTTTTGACGAACTTATATTTTGACTAAACTTTTGGGAAAACTTATGCTTTCAGTAACAGTACGATTTTATTAAAAATTTAAATAACGGTTTTCCAAATTAAGTCACGATTTTAAGGTAGCACCCCGAATCAGTTTTCGCAATGTAAAAGGTTTTATTTTTAAATAACTTTGCGAAATTTTCGCACTCTGATTTTACGATAAGGCGGGGTGTTACAAAATTAGTATGAAAATTTTAGTAAACATAATTTTGTTCCTGTTTATATGTTAAAAATTTGCGATCAAATTAACTTTAAAGATTAAGATTTGCTTTTTCAGCATCTTCGTGTTTGTTTTTTTTAGATGCAATTGTGGAGTACTTATGGTTTCTTTAATGTATCAAATGAATAATGTACAATAAGAATTCTTAATAAATTTTCTTTATGTGGGTATCTATTTCAGATGGATACGGACGTGCCATCATTTTTGAGGATCATATCCTGCTCCGAGGATGATTGACGTGATTGGCTGGTACTTTCATTTATTTTTGCTTGAAAAATTTGTTCTTGTTTGCATGCGTATTATAAATTATTATTCACCGTTGTTGTAGTCGTTGCCTGCTGAAATATATAAAGAGTACGATGGGTTGCTGCCACGTGCTTGCCGTTTGACAACAACTGATGGCGAGGAATATGAAGTAACAATGGGAATAAAAAATGGAAATTTAAGTCTAACAGAAGGATGAGAAAACTTTATGGATTTAGAGTCTATTGAGTGCGGTTTCCATTTGGAGTTTTATCGGCACATTTTGTTTGATTTTGAAATTGAGATTATGGATGAGAACGGATGCGAAAGAGAGCCAATAGGTTCATTTACTCTGGACATGAAAAGAACTCACGTGGAGCGTGCTAGGCTGGTAATATTTCCATAAAAACTTGTTACTGTTTTTGTATAGACCTTAAGAGTTTTTTGGTACATTTCAGCCTTTTATTTTTTTATTTTCCATTAAACAACAATAACAACCTAAAATTACCGAATGACGGTTACATTTTTATGAATTTCCTTTCTTTTAGTTCATCCCGATGCAATTTTGGCGTGACTATATTGAAGGATTGTACGCCAATACCAATGTAGCATATCTACTGATTGGGCAGCGCAGGTATGAATTGGAGGTTGTGGAGGGGCACGGGAAGAAGTTGCTTCAAAGAGGTGAAGCACGTAGCTTCATTGTTGACAATGAAATTGTGGAAAATTGTTCGTACAAGTATTGCTTGATTCCTGGTGAATTAATAAGATTCAAGGTGTACTAAAGTAGTTTTACGGTGACATGGTAGTCATCTTTTTCGTACGTATTATTTTCCTTCATGTATGCTCATGTTTGATTTTTGTTCTTAGACATGTCTGTGTATTGTAATGAGCCTTGGAACTTTAATTTGATTTGCATGGCAGGTGTAACCTTCATTTTAACGTAAGAATAGTAGATGTAAGATTGGGAATGTATGATGAAACTGTTATTATGCAATTGAGAAGTTGATTCAAAAAAGAAGAAGGTTGGAGGAAAGTCATATCCCACAAAAATATTATTTTGAGTGATTTTTTTTTTCAGCTTGTTTGTGTAAGTGACTGAAAAATACTGACACCTATGTTTGAAGCCTTCTACAAAGGTGGTTTCAAATATGCTAAAAACAATATATAAGGAATTAACAAGTGCATTAATATAACTAAATATGTATGAATTTATAAAAGCGCAAATAAAATTTTATTGTTGGAACACAATATTTGAGCAGATGTGTTGAAAAGAAAAGACTAATATTTACTTTCCAATCCAATGAAAAAAAAACGACAAAGTCGTATATTCAAGTTGAGTATATCATAGTTGAGTACATCACTTTTTGTGGTTATTTATAATTATGATTATTACTTCAAAGAAAACTGTGAGTTCTTTTCGTGCTCATAAAAATTTAAAAGAAATTATTGTTCCGTTAAAATTGGGAAAAAAAAATATGAAGCGTTTTTTAGGTAATGCAAACATATACATATTTATCGTTCAACTTTTACATTTGACATACATGAGTAACATAGTTTGACAGCATTATGTCGCACCCAGTTAGCAATTTAATTTAATTTTAGATTTCAAACACACTATTAGCACATGCAATTACGCACAACAAACAACTAAAGTTCGTTAACACATGTCTTGGGAAGATAGTAGATTACAAAATGCCATCTTAACACCATATGGATGGCTAAAAGAGTTTGAGACATCCTAGCACAACTCTAAGACAATCGCAATTAGAGTTGCACAGGACACTTAGAATGTCCACAAAAGTAGGCAGCAATACTACTGGAAAGCGCTGACCTAGTCGGCGTGCACGAAGCAGAGAGCAAAACACATCAAAAGCACTATCTTCATCAAAAGTATGTACAATTTCAGCAACCCCTACCAGGCATGCTTAGTTGCGAGGCCTTTTCAGCGGGCTGGATGGGACAGCTGAAGTGCTCGCACTTCCAAATTCGCTGTAGGATGCATCGTCGCAGGTGGTGTCTACTGGAGGATTTGAGGAGGAAGTAGTAGTGTCATCTCCAAATGTGAAGGCGCGTGCTGCACTTGGATTCGAGGGACCTGCTATATCAGTGTTTGTAGCATCGCTTGCAGTTTCTTCAAGGTATTCCATGGTGTTTGGCGGCAACAACTGGATATTAGGCTCTTCCTGTTGGCCATTTGAAACAGAATTTCATTAGCAAATTTGAAAGATCACAAAAATATTTGGAGAAATTTATAAGTATCAGGCAGAATCTATAAATCCAAAGGATAGAAAAAGGGATGATCTATTTTGAACTCTAGCACAATTGTCACTTATAAACTAAACAGATTGCAGTAAACGCCACCAATTTCATGGTCTTTATATGGTAACCTTTTTTATTGGCTGGCCACTATTATCCAATAAAAGTTACAAAATGGGGACACAGGCCTTTACATAAGCTAGACAACTGAATCCCAGAAACTAAACCACTTACAAGGCCACTCTAGACACTGCATGATATACTAATTTCATGTAAACTGTAGGCTAAGATTGTTTGTGAAATAAAAACTCTTATCTGTTTATTAAATAAATTAAGTAAACTCGTATAATATAAACCTTCGTGACATACATACACAGGAGACATATTTAACAGGAGGTATAAGATTTAAAAACATGAAATTATTAGTTACCTCTGCAACTGAATCGTCAATGTCATCCTCTTCCAGGAGGTCTTCAATTTCGTCCATATACGTCTTCACTACTGAGTAGTTTGTGTCGTTGGCTTGGTATACCCTAACATAGAAGACAACATGGCGGTTCTTAATTCCCGTGGCAATTGGTTCCACCAGGTCTATACCCTGCGTTAACATAATGTATCATAAATTAGATCGGAGGTTTTTGAAACGATTAAACCTGTTTTAGTTGTTTTTTTATTTATACGTAGTATAAAAAACGATGAGAAGCAAGTAATTGTAGCACTGTACCTCTTCTTCAGCATCTTTCAAATCAGCACCGGTAAGTCCAGCTAGGTCTTCAGCATCATCCCCATACACAATTGCCGCAATTGAGCCTGACTCATCTCTAATGCAAATTGGGATTCTTGCCCTATTTACTTTTAAATTGATTAAAGAATACAACAAATATTTGGCTGACCAATTATTTTTTTATTATAGAATTGTAAGAAAGTAAAAGTACCTTGCCGCAATTTGGCTATGTTCGTCGCATGAGCTGCACCGAATCTCAGACCCGACTTGTAAATTAAATCTTTTTTGACAGTTTGCGCAAGCGCCAAACCACAGCGACTGGTTAACTAAACCCAAAGTAATGTGTCCTTCAATCCAGGCAGCTCTTACCTGTTGTACATAAACAATTTCAGTTGTGTTATGGTGTATTAGTGTCGACAGCCGAATGTAACATCCACCATGCTTATTTATTTGAAAAAAAATGCACTTACATTGTTTGCAGGATTGAACAGAGTTTGAATACCAACAATGTCCTCAACAGGTGGTCTCAGAAGTAATATATTTGTGTCTGTGAATGCTTTTCCTGCAATGAAATCATCTACTTCCAGTCTATTTTGCATGTACCTATGCCAAAGATTTTAGAAAATGTGTAGTTATAGCAAACGAATCCGATATTCTTTTTCTTCATATATGACTGAATCATACCATTGCTTGACCTCATTTGCCTCAGGTGTTGCTGGATTTATGAGAATCGCGCTTGGTGGTTTGGTGGAGAGCGAAATTCCTGTAACATGTTATCTTGAGTTTATTGTGCCTAAGAGTAGAAGTTACGATTGTAAAAATAAATAAACACAAATACACCATTAAAAGTCGTGACTCGAACACGCATCGCAATGACTACATTTCCTGCATTGATACTTGTTGCCAGTTGTTCACCTTCAGTTCCAGCAAACTCATTCCAAAGTGTGAGAATCATAGGCATGTTCCTATATTTATGAAAGATGCGTGAATACCATTATTTGTACATATAACTCAGGACTTGAACAAAAAAATGCTATTACTTGCTCAGCATTCATAATCACAAGTTCTCTTATGACTGAATCAAACCCCTTTTGCTTGGATTCAAATGCATGAACAACAACTCCAAGCACATCTGTAAATAAACACCACATTTTTCAAAATCATTTTAACATATTAGAATCAACCTACCACAAACAACATAGAATCCATTTAGGTTGTTGCCATTGAGCACATAAAAAAGCAGTCTACGATTTGGCCAAAACTTTAACTGCAATTGCAAAATAGTTTACATTCACCTTACAACTCTAAAACACCTGTGTTTTAACCCAATATTTTTCAAAAAGAAAGGAAATCATAGCAGCGAAATATATATGAGATTCATATAGACACCGATATTTGATAGCAAAAAAATTACAAAGATCTCTTTAGAAGTTAAAGATGACCATAACACAAACTGGTCTAAGTGTTGAGCATTATTTAACAAGCAAGACCATTACTGAAAGTTAGTGACAACAGGTTAGTCAATTATCCTACTGTTAGTTCAGATTGGACAACAATAATCTGAACAAACAATTTTTCCTTATCTTTACACCTTTCCTAAAGGTGGTGAAAATAATTAACAATAATATTATAGAATTGAACAATTGAAATTAGTTGAGTGTCGATTCATAACAGTCAACATAGTGTAGTACCCATAAGTTTGTGAAATTTACTTAACTGTTAAAACATTTTATGAGAGTAAGCTAATTATATTTTAAAACATGGCACGTTTTACATAACAAAAAAAATAGGAAAACATGTATGTTGTGGCAAAATGGAGCAAAAAGATTAGACAACAGAATTGCATTCTTACTTTGCAAGCTATCGGTATCGGCATGACGGTGTAAGTTTGCAAACATTTCAGTGTCTATGTGGCAGTACAGTTGTGGCGGGACAACGTCTTCATAGGGTTGAATGAGGGTATTGTTGTTTATGGTCCAAGAAAAATCATAAGAGCTCACCCTATGATTTTCTTCTACTTTTTTCACAGTGGCACCAGAGACCCGATATGTCTTGTATGGAAGCAAGAGATTAGCGCCAGGTCTTATGTTATTGTTATAAGCGGCGACTGAAACCTTTGTACCCTTTCGAGAAAAATACCAAATTTACTTGTTAGAAATTATCAAATTAACCTGCATATATCAATAAACAACGTATAACATGTTTCCAGCTCTGAATGGTACAAAATTACCTGAACTTCAGCTAAAACGAACTTGCGGTATGAGATGGATGTGTTTTTTTTGGTTGTCAAGATATGACCTCTTTCAATCACCTGTATGATAACTGTCCATCCCTTAATATGCGGAAGGACTTCGTTGATGGCAAGTGTCGTCATTTCAGAGAGTCTAGTAGACAAAATGTAGTTCATTAAAGAAGTGAGTAAAAACATTCGGCAATAAAATATGCAATGAACATGCAATTTAATAAAACGACAGCTAGTAAGAAAATGTCCATTTATTTTCCACCATATTCTAGTTTGTTGGCAATGACTTTGGATCATAACTGACTATTTGTATGGCCTAAAAATATACACTACAGCCACGTGTAAACATAAAAATAGTATCAGTTTCCTTGCCGCAGCATCCCATTTAAGGCACAAGTGTGTACAACCATAGCATTCTTAAGCTACAATTAGTATCTGCATTTAATAAGACATTAAATGCAAACATATGTATAACAACTTTGTGGCATTTATGTTTATACAGGAGATAGAACATGTTAAGCATAAATGTAGAAAGATTGAACAATTTCATGACCTATTCACAACAAGAGAAATCTAATGAAGTAGTAAATGTAAACTTTAAAGTGAAAGAATAAGAAAAGAGAAATATTACAAGCTAGAGCTGAAATAGATTCTGAGTACTTTGGTCTGGTGAATTTACAGGGCAAACTTTACTTATGTTTATAGGCAGGATGATAGAGTATGCGAGCAAAAGGCTTTAATTTTCGTTTTTTTTTTCTTTTACAAATTGAAATATTTTTATTAAAACTAAAAGTACAAAGATTCTCCAACTAAATCAAACAAATCTGAAATGATGTACTTTTTTTAAAATCGGTAAGGTAAAAAGTGAATTCTATCTTAACTTCTTCACAAAAAAAAAAATAAAAAGTAAATTATAGAGATAGTGTGTAAAGTGTTGTACTTGTTTGATGGGGATGATGATGAATACCTAATACTTCAACTCCATTGTCATGGTGAAATCAAATTGTACCAACCACATCAACATACACAATAAGCCATCCATCAGCAGTACAGTGGCTCCGTGAATTCAGGCGATTCATCATTCCAATGGTAACAAATCAGCGCAACAGCCATGGGCTGGATTAGAAAGGAATTGTTATATATTATATTAGATATATATAAAAGTCCATTCGATTTAATTTATTTATTGGGCCGCTTGTAATTTTACAGCCCATCTATTTTTAGCCATCCAAATGTCCAGTAAATTGTCTCTTTTAAATTTATTCCTACACATAAAAGTAAATTGTGGGCTAAATAGTATTGAGCTATTGAATATATTGTGTTTAATTATTTTGAATATTAATTTTCAATGTGTTTGTTATGTTTCAATGTTATTGTCCTACTTTATAAATTTATTTTCCACACAAGAAAGAAAAAAACAATTTTTTTTTTTTTTAGGTGTAAAAAAGATAAGTTCCATTGTATCATAAAACACTCTCCTTAAGTTGCAAAATGAGCCCTTTTATGGCAGCTTTTGAGCGAATTTGGTTGAGTGTGCGGTAGAAGTAACTATTTTTCCGTATAAAGTTGAAAAGGTGAAAATCCTCGCAACTCAATCCACTTCGTTCGGCTTTTTGCGGATGCGTTTTGTTTAAATCTACAGTACTTGAAGGGCACTATATATTTTGACTTAACTTTCTTTCGATCTAAAAACCATAAAGGGAAAACATTAGTAACAATGATAACACAATGTTAAAAATAAATTTACATTGTAGAAATTCTAACAACGATTATGTAGTATATCTTACCTTTACATAGCCAGTCTTGAAGTTTCTTGTGTTTTGCAGGTGCTAATTAAACTGCATGTTAAGTTCAATATATTTATTTTTGTCATTGTAACTCAATCTTTATTACAACTCAAGTGAAAATATGGGAGACAATTTGGTTTGGTCAAATGCACAACGAATATGCAATCTATTTGTGTTGTCTGTACATCACAGAAATATTCTTTCTTCTTGGCAAAAATAATATGCAAAGCTCATATGCTATTTGCACATGGAGAAGTAAAATTAGTGAAATATATATGTAGTTTTTTTTTTATTTCTTTGGATTAATCTGAGAATAGATTTAATTGTTTTAATACATGGTTATTATAACATCATTCATCACGGTAGTTGTTTGTAAAAAAGAAAAAAAAAATATTTTGCACACAAAGAAACCCACATTTTTTAGCGCCATCGGTGTTCAAAAGAAAAAAAAAATATTTTGCACACAAAGAAACCCACATTTTTTAGCAGAAGAAATCCAAACATTTTACCATACATGACCATTCAGAATAAGCAAACAAAAGCAACAATATTCATTAATAAGGTTCTGGAAAGCATAGTACATTACAAAACGCCATCGAAACATAACCTTGACGGTCAAAACATTCAGCATTTTCTAGCACAACTTCAACACAATGGCGCTAAAGTCGTATCAAGCCGTCTAGAACGTGTCTTAGAAATTAGATTAAAATGCAAAGCTAACCGAGAGCATTCACAAAAGAAGCTGAAAATGCAGTTGAAAAGATAGACGTCATGCCGGCACAGTACAAATACACTATTAGAGGGCATAAGTGCGGCGCAGTCAAAAGTATGTACATATTTTCCTAGGCATGAAAGCTTTGCAAAGGTGCGAGGCTTTTTGAGAGAGTTGGCTAGTGCCGCTGCATTGCTCACACTACCTTCATCGCCATAGGATGCACTCATATCCGTTGTGTTCACTGGAGGCTTGGAAGGTGAAATTGCATTGCTATCTCCAAATTTCAAGGCCCGTGCTGCCATTGGCTTAATGGAAGGCGCGGTAGCTGTGTTCACGGTAGCGTTTTCAATTTCTTCGAGGCAAGCTTTAGTGGTTGGTGTAAATAGTTGTACATCAGACTCCCCCTCTGATTTCTGTGGTTATGTATGAAACATTTTTTATTACTTAGTGTTATGCACGTCTAATACATTCCATCATTATGTTTCAATATGAGCGTTAATATTTGAACACTAAAGGTACTTGTTCAGCAGAATCCTCAACATCATCCTCATCCAAGAGCCCTTCAATTTCGTCCATGTAGAGCTTCACAATTGAGTAATTTGTACCGCTTGTTTGGTACAACCTCACGAAGCATATAACATGGTGGCGGTTAATCCTCTGCTCTATTCTTTTCAGCAAGCTCATGCCCTGTGTCAACACAGTGTAATATAGCATTAATATTCGTAAACTACAAAGATTTTGAACCAAGTTTAGTACCGTAATTGTATTTTTTTAGAAAATGAGCGTAAATAATTGGAATTTGAAAGTAATATGGAACCAATACTTGATCCTTAGCGTCTTTTAAGTCAGCCGCAGCATGCCTAACAAGTCCTTCAGCATCTTCTCCATACACAATTGCCGCAATCGTCTCCGTATCATCCTCAATGTAGATGGGAATCCTTGCCCTGGTGTTAGTTTAAAAGGTTAATCATTTTTTTGTGTAGTGTAATACAGGTTTCATTAGGTTAATGGCCCAGGTTAATTAAAAGTACCTTGGAATAATTTCGCTTTGTTGGTTGCAAGCGCTGCACTTTATATGAAAACCCACTTTAAGATCAAACTTTTTTTCACAGTTGGCTCACGAGCCAAACCAAAGGGATTGGCTGACCAGGCCCAAAGTTACGCGGCCTTGAATCCATGCAGCTCTCACCTATTGTACTGAACAATTTGTTTAAATCATTTTGTTTAATTAGCATTGTACAGTACGACGTTAAAACTATCAATCCTATTGACTTTAATACAAAAAACTTACATTGCTATGCACGAAATCCTGGACACTAATGATGTCGTCAGCAGGTGGTCGTGGCAGCAATGTAGCCGTGTTTCTGTACTCTTTAGCTGCAATGAGATTTGCAACCTCCAACTGATTTTGTAGGTACCTGTGTAAATTAGAGCATTAGGTATGGGACTACACTAAGTTTTGTTTTTGAAATAGGAAACCTATGAATATTAAATTTTACCACTTCTTGAGTTCAGTAGCCTCAGGTGTTGGTGGATTTATGAGTATCGAGCTTGGCTGTTTAGTCGAAACTGAAATGCCTGCGAAAAGTGGTAATTGTAAGGTCTATGTATTTAAAATATCCAGAACAAAATAATGAGGAAATAAAAATAAAGTTACCATAGAATGTGGATACTCTAACTTGCATCGCAATGACCACATTTCCTGCATTAATATTATTCGCCAACTGTTCACCCTCTGTCTTAGCAAACTCATCCCACAGCGTGAAAATCATAGGCATGTTCATGATATTTATTCACTATACGTAAATATATTTTATTTAGTTAATAATACGCATAAAATAGCAAAAATATCACTCACTCGGTATTCATTATAACTATCTCTCTAACAGTAGACTTAAAGCCCTTCTCTTTGGAATCAAATGCATGCACCACAACTCCCAGCACATCTGTACGCCAATATCTCATTTTAGTTATGTCTGTTAATATGTACCCAAATATGTATTGACATTGTAAGTTGGACATTAGAACATTCATGTAATCTAAGAGAGGTCTAGCTATTCTAAACACATTAAAGAACTAAGTAGATGGTTGAGCATACATATGTAAGCTACAACAATTACCAATGAACATACAATAGAACATCATAATTTAGTTGCATTAAGATTAACTGCTATGCTCTGTAGTACACATAATTATGCAGATTAATCAACACCAACATAATTTCATTATACTAACATAATATGTTTGGAAAAATTAATAGCTGATTGAACGTAAATCTACAACTACATGAATGATGTGTGTAAATAAACCCCAAAGATAGTGTTTGGTATAATATCACACTCACTCTGTAAGTTTTCACTGTCCGCATAGCGGTGCAAATTTCCATAGCTTTCGGTGTCTAAGCTGCAGTAAAGCTGAGTCGGGATGGTATCCTCACAAGGCTGAATGAGACTATAGTTGTTGATTGTCCAAGAATAATCATAAGGGCCCACCCTATATTTGTCTTCAACGATCTTTAGAGCGGCGCCATACAATCGAAACGTCTTGTACAGAATTAAGATCTTAGCGTTGCCCCTTATGTTGTTGTTGTAAACAACAGCCGAAACCTTTGTGCCTTTTTGTAAAATCGCAAATTACTTCTCGTTAACCGAATTTAAAAACCATTTTTTTATATTGATACATAAGCTCGAACAATGATAAATTTTATATGCATACATTTACCTCCACATCCGCCAAAAGGAACTTGCGATATGTTATTCCCGAGTCATTTCAGCTTTCAAAGACGTGACTTCTTATAATCACTTGCACAACAACTGTCCAGCCCTTAGTCTGTGGGTTCACTTCTTTGATGGTTGTAATGTTCCTCATCTTCAGGTAATAACCTTTTAAAGCTGCAATTTGTTTAGAAACTCAGTCAAGAAAAAAAAAAAA